CTATTATTTATGTAAATATAGTTAATTGCATAGAAGGAGGCTATCTTAATTTCTGCTTGTGAATTCACAGACATTTAAGGTATTATATCACAAACAGTTATGTATCTACTTCAGAATAGAATGATTATTGTATGAGTACTATTGATCATAGGTCATCATCATGTACTATATGTATACTGTATAATTCAATTAAATTTATTCACGCTACAAAAGCCATCAAGGGCTATTATCCGCAAGTAACACTTCTTAAATTACAACCACCCCCACTGCCCCCCCCCCACCTGAACACAGCAATAAGAAATGAAAAGAGGATTGATTGTTGAAAGCAGAAAATATTATGAGGAGAAATTACCTAAGGCTGGCTTTTTGCTATGCAGTTTTGTATCATGTATTTTATTGATTACATGACTAGTTATTAGTTTTTTGTTTATTTTTTTCTTTAATTATAAAGCATGTATTATGTAAATCTGATGTTTAATCAACTACAGACTTACTAGAAAGGTTATTCTTTCTGCACTGTTAAGGTTAAGAAAGGTGTTCTAAATTTATTTTATATATATCTTTTATAGAAAGTATTCTTAACCTTATCAGATGTCCCAAGTCTCCCTGAAGTGTTGGGAGTCTCCTAGAAATCAGGATGGCCTCCTCCACTCTTGCAAGCAAGCAAGAATCTCACAGAAAATAACCCATCTTTCCCAAATTCATGATATCTGCACTTTTTCACTACTTCATCGATTGTCTCACTCAAGACAGTGCAAATGATATCACCATGCACAGCGTAATAAAATTACATGTGTTAAAAAAATACATCCAGATATCTTATCCAGAAGTGATTTCTTCAAACTTGGATCCCCTGCTTTATCCATTGTGGTTTGCCTTGAAGGCAATGCTAAGAAGGCTAGATTTACAAAACATTTTTTCCTGCAGCTGAAAATCTGTAGATGTTGATACGAAGTGCTTTTTAAAAAAAATATTTATCTCTTGTTATATTCTTGTTTTTCTTTTTTATGCATCAATTCCAGTGTTGTTATAACAAATGGTGAACTTTACTATCTAACAACAATCCTTTTTAATTGTGATATAGCTACTGGTAATGCCTGCTCAAACAATCCCTGTCTGAATGGTGGAGCCTGCAGTTTGAGTGGATCAAGTTTCGCTTGTCAATGTCCAACTGGTTTTTCTGGTACAATTTGTCAAACGACGACAAGTAAGCAAAATTTTTTTGTAGCTTTAAAACCAGTCTACTATACTTTTTGAATACTTTACTTGGATAATCAACTAATTTTTTTTGTTTTTGCTGAAGCTGAACACCCCTTCAAACAGCTGGATTTCAGTGTCAATGGGCCTCTCAACAAGGTTCCCTAGGCTGTCCGGGCCCCTTAAATTTTTCAAAATTAAAAAATGTGGGGAAAAAAGAAAATTATACTGTTTTCAAATTTAAGTCTGAGAATGCCACTTTCGGCCATCTTGAGGTGCAATAATGATAAATGTTCTTACCTCAACCAAAACCGTGGTGGGGCTGAGGTGGTTTAGGTCCTCCATCTGTCAAAGTCCCTCCCTGGCAGTGGCGTATTTAGGAGTCTTGAAATGGGAGACTGGTGTGGTGGGGTCACGGTGATTCATTCAAAGGAAAGCTAACTTGCAAAATAAGGTGATTTAACGTGATTTAAATACTAGAGCGTCATTTATGGGGGCGCGAGTATTTTATTTTTTTTTGGTGGAGTATGTCAAAGCTTCCAGGGATTCCCCTACCCCACTACTGTAGCTGTAACTCAAGCCCTCGGTTGACGCTTCACATCACAGGGCCTGGCTAAAAAAGTTGCACTGGGGCCCGTTCTCACCTAGCTACGCCACTGTTCGCAAATATGTCATTTTTCAAATTCTTTTAAGATCGCAAGCAATTGGAATCTTAAATATATGTGGCTTTAATAAGATTGCTGTACAGAAACTTGCCTTAATTCCAGCACAGTCGAATAGTGACGAAATTAGGGAGGTGGTTCATGAATTGTGCCCCGCGGACAGATTTTATTTTATTAAAAATGGTGTTCCGGTTCGGCAACAAAGGCTATTAGACGATTATCCATGTCAGTATCTCACTCATAAAGTACCAACATCACAATTGATTTGTGTAATTTGTTTTAAGGATATCCTACCTTGGTAATGCTAAATCTATATATAGGTGTCAACAACTTGAACTAATTTTATACCAACCTGTTATTGGGTCGGTGGTGTAGATTCTTTGGTATTCTAACACGCTTTATGGGATGTTCTTTGAATGTTTTTGTCCTCAGCTCAGCCATGCCAACCTAACCCATGTCAAAACAATGGTGTATGTACAGTCAATGGAAATACCTATTTCTGTAATTGTCCAAGCGGTTTTTCAGGCATTAATTGTCAAACAACAGGTATGCTGTTGCTGTTGCTGTATGCTCTATCTTTCAAAAGAGTTCTTTTGTCCAGTATGAGGCATAGTTCCTATTTTAACCAGTCTTTTTGTTATTTGTCGTTTATATGTAACCCAATATTGCAATTGTTTTTATACTAACATTGAATTTAATAAAGTCATTAAAATGGTTGTACTACTCAATAAACTAACAAAGATGAAATTTCTATTAGTACAATATTTAACGTGGGCACATATACATTGGTATCTAAATAATAACTCAATATATAATATGTAAAATAATAATTATTGATTTTAAATTATATTATATGTTTGTAATAAATTATATTATTAACAAATTTTATGCCAACCTGTTATTGGATAGGTGGTTTTTGGTATTCTAACACGCTTTATTGGATTTTCTTTGAATGTTTTTGTCCTCAGCTCAGCCATGCCAACCTAACCCATGTCAAAATAATGGTGTATGTACAGTCAATGGAAATACCTATTTCTGTAATTGTCCAAGCGGTTTTTCAGGCATTAATTGTCAAACAGGTATGCTGCTGCTGTTGCTGTATGCTCTATCTTTCAAAAGAGTTCTTTTGTCCAGTATGAGGCATAGTTCCTCTTTTAACCAGTCTTTTTTTTATTTGTTGTTTATATGTAACCCAATATTGCAATTGTTTTTATACTAACATTGAATTTAATAAATTCAGTAAAATGGTTGTACTACTCAATAAACTAACAAAGATGAAATTGCTATTAGTACAATATTTAACGTGGGCACATATACATTGGTATCTAAATAATAACTCAATATATAATATGTAAAATAATAATTATTGATTTTAAATTATATTATATGTTTGTAACGAATTATATTATTAACAAATTTTATGCCAACCTGTTATTGTGTAGATGGTGCTCTGTATTTTAACATGTTTAATATTGGATGTTCTTTGTATGTTTTTGTTCTCAGCTCAGCCATGCCAACCTAACCCATGTCAAAATAATGGTGTATGTACAGTCAATGGAAATACCTATTTCTGTAATTGTCCAAGCGGTTTTTCAGGCATTAATTGTCAAACAGGTATGCTGCTGCTGTTGCTGTATGCTCAATCTTTCAAAAAGAGTTCTTTTGTCCAGTATGAGGCATAGTTCCTCTTTTAACCAGTATTTTTGTTATTTGTTGTTTATATGTAACCCAATATGCAATTGTTTTTATACAAACATTGAATTTAATAAAAATCACTAAAATGGTTGTACTACTCAATAAACTAACAAAGATTGGAAATACCTATTTCTGTAATTGTCCAAGCGGTTTTTCAGGCATTAATTGTCAAACAGGTATGCTGCTGCTGTTGCTGTATGCTCAATCTTTCAAAAAGAGTTCTTTTGTCCAGTATGAGGCATAGTTCCTCTTTTAACCAGTCTTTTTGTTATTTGTTGTTTATATGTAACCCAGTATGCAATTGTTTTTATACAAACATTGAATTTAATAAAAATCACTAAAATGGTTGTACTACTCAATAAACTAACAAAGATGAAATTGCTATTAGTACAATATCAATATTTAACGTGGGCACATATACATTGGTATCTAAATAATAACTAAATATATAATATGTAAAATAATAATTATTGATTTTAAATTATGTTATATGTTTGCAACAAATTATATTATTAACAAATTTTATACCAACCTGTTATTGGGTCGGTGGTGTAGATTTTTTGGTATTCTAACACTCTTTATTAGATGTTATTTGAATGCTTTTGTCCTCAGCTCAGCCATGCCAACCTAACCCATGTCAAAATAATGGTGTATGTACAGTCAATGGAAATACCTATTTCTGTAATTGTCCAAGTGGTTTTTCAGGCATTAATTGTCAAACAGGTATGCTGCTGCTGTTGCTGTATGTTTTATCTTTCAAAAGAGTTCTTTTGTCCAGTATGAGGCATAGTTCCTCTTTTAACCAGTCTTTTTGTTATTTGTTGTTTATATGTTACCCAATATTGCAATTGTTTTTATACTAACATTGAATTTAATAAAATCACTAAAATGGTTGTACTACTCAATAAACTAACAAAGATGAAATTGCTATTAGTACAATATCAATATTTAACGTGGGCACATATACATTGGTATCTAAATAATAACTCAATATATAATATATAAAATAATAATTATTGATTTTAAATTTTGTTATATGTTTGCAACAAATTATATTATTAACAAATTTTATACCAACCTGTTATTGTGTAGATGGTGCTCTGTATTTTAACATGCTTTATTAGATGTTATTTGAATGTTTTTGTCCTCAGCTCAGCCATGCCAACCTAACCCATGTCAAAACAATGGTGTATGTACAGTCAATGGAAATACCTATTTCTGTACTTGTCAAAGTGGTTTTTCAGGCATTAATTGTCAAACAACAGGTATGTTGCTGCTGCGTGTATACTCTATCTTTCAACATAACAACTTTATTTATTTGTTTTAATTATGCAGGTTTAAAAATAGAAGACAGTACAAGACTGCAAACAATCTAAGTTTACAATATCATTATGGAAATATATGCCTAAAAACTCTAAAATATTAATGAAAAATTAATAAATAAATATAGCAAAGTCCATATTTTAAAAACTATCATTAGGCCTAAGTGTTATCTTCCTTAATCCAATAGCTTAACCAACTGAGGAATAGTTGACTTTCTGTAGTGCTCTGTTTGTCCACCAGGATCCTTTAATTCATAAATTCTTCTCATATTTGTACTAGTTCTTCTAATATTTTAAACTGGGTAGCATATTTCTGTGGCATCTTTGATGAAGAGTTGCCAGTTTAGGAGGCTTTATCTAGGAAATAAAGCTTAGTTCACACTATCAAGTTAATGTGACAAATATTTGTCATTTGTCACATTAATTAATGTCAGTGTGGACAGTGCTTTATTTATTTATTTTCTTTGTACTGGATTGCTTTTTCAGTAGCTTTGTACTGCTTTTCAAAATGGTCCAGTTACAAAGTATAGTAAAGTAAAAAGTAGGTAAAGTAAAGTGAACATATAGACAGTAAAAAAAATGTGCAAAGGTAAAACTAAATCACACTTGAATTAATGTAGATGGAATTTATAAATCCATTAAAATTGTTTTCGGTTGCAGTAGTACTAATTTCAGCAGGTATATTTTTCCATTTTTTTTAGGCTTTGGAATTTAAGTTCCTTTACCTTGAATGTTTTCCAAATGAGGTGTTATTAATTTTTAAAGATTTAAACATTTTCCAAAAGCCGAAAGGTCCACTGATTAATTACAGTTAAGAAATATGATAGATACACAAGTATTGAAATGCACGCCATTGTGTTGGGATTCCATGTTTCAACCATAATTATGTCATCATCAGCAATGAAAAATTATCCATATTTACAAGCTTATATGTACCAAAAGTGTTTAATCAACAACATAACAGTGATGTAAACTATTTAATGAACAAATTTACTGCACAGCTACAAGGGTACAATTCGTTTTTCTCAAACAATTTACTATTATCTTTAGAAAAATTCCTTCATCATCTTCATTAACAGATTTACTGTTGTACTACCCCAAAGCTAACTTGTTTTTATCTATCTTTTAATTCTATCTTATAATAATTTTCTCTCATAAAATAATTATCTGTTTTTATTATGTTTACTTTCTGTAAAATGAAGCACTCCTCATTCCTAATGGCTCACAACTGCACTTATCAAAATAAATTTCAACTTTCTGGCTGTGCTTAACCATTTATTTGTGCATGATTCTGTTAGTTCTTAGGATGTGCGCGGGTGGTACACGCTCCCCCCCCCCCTTTCAAAAATAAAAATACTTTCCCCGCCTCCCCAGCCCTCTCCAAAAAAACCCCTTAAATCACCTTATTTTGCCAGTTAGCGCCCCCTCACCTAATAATCAAGCCCATCATTTTGCCTTCCCACCCCTCCCCATCAACCCCCTTCAATTTCAAGATTCATAGCTAGGTACACCACTGATATTAGAGCCTGATAGTAGGAAAAGTTTGTTAGCCTATAT